GAGGTGGGAGGAGGGTGTGAGAAGTTGGAGAATGGTTGTGAGGGTGGTTGGGAGGTTTCGTGATGGGGAAAAGGGATTGGTGAATGAGGGGGTAGGGATGATCGAGGGACGGAGGGAGTGGATGTGGTGAGAGGATTAGGAAGGGGATGTTAGGATGGTGAGGGTGGTGGAAGGGAATGGTGAGGGATGAGGAATGGCTGAGTGAGCGAGGAAGGGAGGGATGGTGAGGGTGTTAGGATGGATGGTTGAGGGAGGTGGAGGAAATGTGATGGTGGTGGGAGGCGATAGTTCGGGATGGTGGGAGGGCGGGATGGTGAGGAATGTGGGGAGGTGATGGTGAAGGTGGTGGGAGGGATGGTGAGGAAGAATGGGTGGTGATGGTGTGGAGGGATGGTGAGGGGTGGGGGGCAAGGTTCGTGAGGGAGGAGGGAGGGATGGTGAGGGTGGTGGGAGGGATGGTGAGGGTGATGGAAGGATGGTGAGGGAGGAAGGAGGGATATGAGGGCAGTGGGAGGGATGGTAAGAGAGGAGGGAGGGATGGTGAAGGTGGTGGGAGGGATGGTGAGGGAGGCGGGAGGATGGTGAGGGTGGTCGGAAAGATGGTGAGGGAGTAGAGAGTGCTGGTGAGGAGAAGGGAGGGATGGTGAGGGTGGTGGGAGGGATGGTGAGGGAGGTGGGAAGGATGGTGAGGGAGGAGGGAGGATGCGAGGGTGGTGGGAGGGATGGCGAGGGTGGTGGGAGGGATGGTGAGGGAAGAGGAATGGCTGGTGAGCGAGGAGGGAGGGATGGTGAGGGTGTTAGGAGGGATGGTGAGGGAGGTGGGAGGGAAAGTGATGGTGGTGGAGGGATGGTGAGAAGGTGGGAGGGATGGTGAGGTGGTGGGAGGGGTGGTGAGGGTGGTGGGAGGGGTGGTGAGGGGTGGTGGGGAGGGGTGTGGGTGGTGTGTGGGGGGAGGGATGGTGAGGGTGGTGGGAGGGGTGGTGAGGGTGGTGGGAGGGATGGTGAGGTGGTTGGGAGGGGTGGTGAGGGTGGGGGGAGGGATGGTGAGGGTGGTGGGAGGGGTGCGTGAGGGTGGTGGGAGGGTGGTGAGGGGGGTGGGAGGGGTGGTGAGGGTGGTGGGAGGGATGGTGAGGGTGGTGGGAGGGGTCGTGAGGGTGGTGGGAGGTGGTGGTGGGGGGTGGTGAGGGTGGTGGGAGGGGTTGTGAGGGTGGTGGGAGGGTGGTGAGGGTGGTGGAGGGGTGATGTGAGGTGGTGGGAGGGGTGGTGAGGGTGGTGGGAGGGATGGTGAGGGTGGTGGGAGGGGTCGTGAGGGTGGTGGGAGGGGTGGTGGGAGGATGGTGAGGGTTGGTGGGAGGGTTGTGAGGGTGGTGGGAGGGTGGTGAGGGTGGTGGGAGGGTGGTGGGGGTTTGGTGGGAGGGATGGTGAGGGTGGTGGGAGGGGTGGTGAGGGTGGTGGGAGGGATGGTGAGGGTGGTGGGAGGGATGGTGAGGCTCGCATGGATCATTATAATATGTAACACTGGTCAACACTCATTTTCTAGTAAATGATATTACAGCGACCTTATGGTAAGTTTGTGTTGCTGATGTTATGGTAAGTTTGTGTTGCTGATGTTATGGTAAGTTTGTGTTGCTGATGTTATGGTAAGTTTGTGTTGCTGATGTTATGGTAAGTGTGTGATGATGATGTTATTGTAAGTTTGTGTTGCTGATGTTATCGTAAGTTTGTGTTGCTGATGTTATGGTAAGTGCGTGATGATGATGTTATGGTAAGTTTGTGTTGCTGATGTTATCGTAAGTTTGTATTGCTGATGTTATGGTAAGTGCGTGATGATGATGTTATTGTAAGTTTTGTGTTGCTGATGTTTATCGTAAGTTTGTGTTGCTGATGTTATGTAAGTGCGTGATGATGATGTTATGGTAAGTTTGTGTTGCTGATGTTATCGTAAGTTTGTTATTGCTGATGTTATGGTAAGTGCGTGATGATGATGTTATTGTAAGTTTGTGTTGCTGATGTTTCGTAAGTTTGTGTTGCTGATGTTATGGTAAGTGCGTGATGATGATGTTATGGTAAGTTTGTGTTGCTGATGTTATCGTAAGTTTGTATTGCTGATGTTATGGTAAGTGCGTGATGATGATGTTATTGTAAGTTTGTGTTGCTGATGTTATCGTAAGTTTGTGTTGCTGATTTTATGGTGTGTGATGATGATTTATGGTAAGTTTGTTTTGCTTGTGTTATGGTAAGTTTCGTTGCTGATGTTTGGTAAGTGTGTGATGTGATGATGTTATTGTAAGTTTGAGTTGCTGATGTTATGGTAAGTTTGTGTTGCTGATGTTATGGTAAGTTGTGTTGCTGATGTTTATGGTAAGTGTGTGATAATGATGTTATGGTAATTTTGTGTTGCTGATGTTATGGTGTGTCATGATGATGTTATGGTAAGTTTGTGTTGCTGATGTTATGGTGTGTGATGATGTTATGGTAAGTTTGTGTTGCTGATGTAATGGTAAGTGTGTGATGATGATGTTATGGTAAGTTTGTGTTGCTGATGTTATGGTAAGTGTGTAATGATGATGTTACGGTAAGTTTGTGTTGCTGATGTTATTGTAAGTATGTGATGATGATGCTATGGTAAGTTTGTGTTGCTGATGTTATGTAGTTTGTGATGCTTATGGCAAATTTGCGTTGCTTATGCAATGGTAAGTGTGTGATGATGATGTTATGGTAAGTTTGTGTTGCTGATGTTATGGTAAGTTTGTGTTGTTGATATTATGGTAAGTGTGTGATGCTGATGTTATAGTAAGTTTGTAATGCTTGTGTTATGGAAAGTTTGTACTGCTGATGTTATGGTAAGTTTATGTCGCTGATGTTATGGTAAGTTTGTAATGCTGATGTTATGGTAAGTTTGTGATGCTGATGTTATGGTAAGTTTGTACTGCTGATGCTATGGTAAGTTTGTACTACTGATGTTACGGTAAGTTTGTACTGCTGATGTTGTGGTAAGTTTGTGTTGCTGATGTTATGGTAAGCTAGTGTTGCTGAGTTATGGTAAGTTTGTGTTGCTGATGTTATGGTAAGCTTGTACTGCTTATGTTATGGTAAGTTTGTACTGCTGATGCTATGGTAAGTTTGTGTTGCTGATGTTATGGTAAGTTTGTACTGCTGATGTTATGGTAAGTTTGTACTGCTGATGTTATGGTAAGTTTGTACTGCTGATGCTATGGTAAGTTTGTGATACTGATGTTATGGTAAATTTTTGATGCTGATGTTATGTTAAGTTGTGATTCTGATGTTGTGGTAAGTTTTTGTTGCTGATGTTATGGTAAGTTTGTGATGCTGATGTTGTGGTAAGTTTGTACTGCTGATGTTATGGTAAGTTTGTGATTCTGATGTTGTGGTAAGTTCGTACTGCTGATGTTATGGTAAATTTGTGATGCTGATGTTATGTTAAGTTTGTACTGCTGATGTTATGGTAAGTTTGTGATGCTGATGTTGTGGTAAGTTTGTACTGCTGATGTTATGGTAAATTTGTGATGCTGATGTTATGTTAAGTTTGTGATGCTGATGTTATGGTAAGTTTTTGTTGCTGATGTTATGGTAAGTTTGTGATGCTGATGTTAAGTTTTGTTGCTGATGTTTTGGTAAGTTTGTGATGATGGTTCCCAATATGTTGTCGCTTTTCTTGATTGGCTTTAATTTTGATAAATTTTTCATACTATTTAAAACCCTGAATTTTGTGAAAAAAATTATATTGATAAGACGGGGCTAACTTATAAATCGTATTGAAATAATTTTTTAGATCAAGCAAAAGTCAAAGTATGTAACACATACTAGCAGCTCATTCTATATAATAACAGATTTACATAGTAAGATTATTCAGATACCATTATTTACTGTACGATTTTCTTCTATGTTGGTCATCAGCGCAGTTTTGTTGAGTGAGCAGTTGGAAAAGATGCATATTGTTTACCACTGTTCAATAAGACACATTTCGAGCTTCTAATAAACAGCCACCAATCTCATGGTCGATATTCAAATCCCAGTCAAAAAAAAAAAAAAGTCCATTGGTGTTATAGTAGTATACAAGTTCTTTATCTTGGCTGAAGTAGAGGAGCTCACTCTCTGCTGTCCGATGAGCTGTTATTTTAAGTTCTTGTTGTAAAGAGTTTTTTTTTTTTTTAGTCTGGATGCTAAAAGTTCAAATGCTTTGACAGACTGAGGTCAAGTAACAGATCATTGAGTTCTTGGGATACCTGCTGGAGTGTTGAAATGTTTACTTCATATTCACTTCCCTGTTATCACCTTTGTTACATCCTAAACCATGAGTTTCTTCAACATCTGACAATGGAAGGTCAGGAAGTGTTTTAAACACTGGTATGGGAACATCTTCAGTGTGTGGCATAGATCTCTTTGTTGACTCCAAATCAGAATACTCCCTCTTGACCTTCTTGTATCAATTGAAATCTTTCACATTCACACTATACACACGCTCAAGTTTAACTTTTCCTTTGCCTATTTTTCCACTGTTGTCAACATTCTTCACAGGTTTTGCAAACCATATGGAGAGCCCATGACTTGGCCACTCCAAAATAAGCAAGATAGGCTTGTTTTATAAAATCCATAATGTTTTTCCTTTGTTTTTGTAAAGAATATTCGCGACAAATATAGCAAAATGCACTGGAATTCTTAAAGTAGGCTTTTCGTGAAGAACTTACGTTTATCTGGAAAATGAAGGTTACAGTACTGTCATTTAAAACACACACGCGATATAGCAAAGTCTGAAAACCTACTGCTATTTTCGATTTCAGCAACCCCAAAATTACCTTTATACCTTCAAATACTTTTGACAACGAATTTCATTTTTGTTGACCATTGAAATGCAATTTTCAGATGAGTATGGGCAATCAAAATGAGGAAATGGTTGGACTAGAGTTACAATAAGAACATTAATGCAGACACATTGTGTCTAGTATCTTTCATTCTACATCAGTGTTCAGGTAAATCACTAATAAACTCACCCTTAATGCATAAGCTCCACCATGTAGCAGAAGAGCTTGTCTGAGGGAGACAAAACATCTTCCTTTATTACTCCAGGAACACTCAAAGGATGAAGACACTGAACGATGACGCTCCAGTACAAGAACTTTGGCAGCAAGACGCAAATGAGGCACCAGCTGCCTCTCAGGTATGTGTCCAGACGTAGAATGTATCAGGAGTATGTTATTCTGTTAAAGTAGAGAAAAATACACACATACATACATACATACATATATATATATGTCGTGCCGAATAGGCAGAACTTTCGATCTTGGCTTAAATAGCAACACTCATCTTGCCATATAGGACAAGCGAAAATTTGTGTATGCAATAATTTCTCAAAAATTATTCTGAACCTAACGAAAAAAATATATTTCGCTGTTGCTAGGTTGCTATAAAGGATATGCGACTGTCGGTATATCAGACGAAGGATTCCCTATTAAGTCTGCTGACCTACTGATAGGAAATGACCTAAGCTGCGAAGGAATCAAGAAAGAACCTTTGGTGATAGAAAATACCTCGGGAGAGAATTGCGTGGTTGAGGCTCATAGTAAGGACCTATCATTATTTCCGCTGGGAGTTGTCACTAGGTCCATGGCAACGACCAGGTTACCTCCTGAATCCACAGAGGAAGAAGAGGACAAAGCTGATCTGGATTTGAACCGATTGTTTAGTGCGACCTATTGGCCCAAGGATGCGACGTCTGTGTCTGCAGGGCTAGACTCAACTTTAGATTCTTTAGGTGCTAAAAAGTTTAGACCTGAAGATCTAATCCAAGCACAGATGGAAGACCCCTCGTTGGAGAAAGTAAGAAAACTGGTGGTAACGGAAGAAGAGGCCGAGAAATAGAGGACTGTGTTTATTCTATTAGCGGTATACTTATGAAGAAATCCGCCAGAAGAGGTTTTCTAGGGGCATCTTTCGCCAAGGCCAAGCATGTGTTAATCCTACCTAGGATTTATCGTGAGCTTGCATTGGAGGTCGCCCGTAACAGTCCAGTGGGAGGACATCTGGGAGTAAGGAAAACAATGGAAAAGTTGTCAAAATACTTTTTTTGGCCTAGAATACGAGAAACTGTGGTGGAACATCTTCGCAGTTGCCGGGTGTCAGACCGTCGGCAAACCCGCTCATAGCTTCCCTCCGGCTCCTCTCTGTCCTATCGCCTCAGATGGCGAGACTTTTTCCCGTCTAATCATCGATTGCGTAGGTCCACTCCCCAGGACCAAGGCGGGAAATCAGTACCTATTCACTATAATGGATTCTGCCACCCGTTACCCCGAGGCCATCCCCATGAGGAAAATAAATGCTCGCGCAATAGTCCGCGCTTTCATCAAGTTTTTCTCGTAGGTAGGGCTGCCTCGTGAGATCCAATCCGATCAAGGATCAAACTTCACTTCAAAAATCTTCAGGGAGGCCATGTCACGCTACGAGCTATAGGCCCTAGTCCCAAGGAACATTGGAACGGTTTCATCAAACATTGAAGGTGATGATGCGTTCCTACTGTGAACAATTCAGTAAAGACTTGGACGAGGGCATTCCTTGCCAGGAATTTTCGGAAACTCATTGCTAAGACTTATCTCGGTTGGAGAAGGCGGTTGAGAAGCCCTTAGAGAAAGTGAAGCCAAATGAGCAAGCCTCTGTGGTGTAAGAGGGCTTATTGCAGAGTGAACCCTATGTAAGAGCTCTATCAATATTGTGTTCAAGTTTTTAAGCAACGCCTGTGCATGTACATATACTGCTATTTCCTGACTCACTCAGAGCCATTTGTAAATACTTAACCTAGTACTTTGATGTTTTAATGAGGAGTGGCATAAGTGTTCTACTCATAGTGTAAAATATGAGAAAGTGAATTTAAGTGGTTATTATGGTTATTAATGAATTAAATAGAAACTAAGAAAATTCCTTTTTCTCTACGAGTGAAGACTCCTAGACGTGCTAAGTGTGTTAGTTTGTTACGAAAAGCACTATAACCCATGTATCAGAAATCTTCCCTATGAGGATAGACTGAGGGCCCTGAATCTGCACTCTCTAGAAAGACGTAGAATCAGGGGAGATATGACTGAGGTGTATAAATGGAAAACAGGAATAAATAAAGGGGATGTAAATAGAGTGCTGAAAATATCCAGCCAAGACAAGACTCGCAGCAATGGTTTCAAGTTGGAAAAGTTCAGATTCAGGAAGGACATAGGAAAGCACTGGTTTGATAATAGAGTTGTGGATGAGTGGAACAAACTCCCAAGCACCGTCATAGAAGCTAAGACCTTGTGTAGTTTTAAAAATAGGTTGGATAAATACATGAGTGGGTGTGGGTGGGTGTGAGTTGGACCTGACTAGCTTGGGTTACCAGGTCTGGTGCCGTGCTCCTTCCTTAAGTGGAAGTGATCTGACTAGGTGGTCATTGCTCAAAGCCAGGGGGTGGCATGGACCTGCTTCGCATGGGTCAGTAGGCCTGTTGCAGTGTTCCTTCTTTCTTATGTTTTTATGTAAATAAAAAAGGAACCAGTGACAGGGTTAGCGTCGCTTGGGGAGGAGACACCATTTTTTTTTTGAACTCGGCAAGACGAGAGTTAGTGAAACGGGAAGAATGTTTCATAGCTCTGGAGGTTATATGTGGTTGAAACCTCTCAAATAAGAGCAGAAATTGTCAGAGTTACAGTCCTACAGAACGTGAGAAACCAACGACTGGGCAGGATTCCGAAATTAGATGGGAAAAGGGATAAGAATTACACCATCCCCCAGATAAGTAACGTCTTTATATGATATATTAGACACATGTGCAACTCTTGGGTATCTTTATTGAGGAAACGTTTCGCCACACAGTGGCTTCATCAGTCCATACAAAGGAGAATCTTGAAGAACAGTAGGAGAATGAGGTAATCAGTCCCTCAACCTTGAGTCGATGTGGTCAGTCCATCAATCTTCAATAGAATACGGCATACGTGCTGAGAAGGAGCTTATAAACCGTTGGCAGGAGAGGTGCAGCAGTCATAGGTCGTGTAACATTTGTTCAATGTTGAAGTAGGTCGTGCCCAAGAATTAGGCAAGCGAAGAATTCCCAAGTATTAAGATCCCAAGAAGTTGCATGTCGGTTCTCTGAACCATTCATCTACAAACCTGTCAGACACTGCAACTTCTTGGGATCTTAATACTTGGGAATTCTTCGCTTGCCTAATTCTTGGGCACGACCTACTTCAACATTGAACAAATCAAATGTTACACGACCTATGACTGCTGCACCTCTCCTGCCAACGGTTTATAAGCTCCTTCTCAGCACGTATGCCGTATTCTATTCAAGATTGATGGACTGACCACATCGACTCAAGGTTGAGGGACTGATTACCTCATTCTCCTACTGTTCTTCAAGATTCTCCTTTGTATGGACTGATGAAGCCACTGTGTGGCGAAACGTTTCCTCAATAAAGATACCCAAGAGTTGAATAATAAAATGGTATAAAATACCGACAGGTTGTTAGGTAAGACACATATGCAACAGTTAGGTATCTTTATTTCGAAACGTTTCGCCTACACAGTAGGCTTCTTCAGTCGAGTACAGAAAAGTTGATAGAAGCAGAAGATACTTGAAGACGATGTAATCAGTCCATCACCCTTAAAGTTTTGAGGTGGTCAGTCCCTCAGTCTGGAGAAGAGCATTGTTCCATGGAATGAAACAATATGGAGATGAAGTGACAGGACTGTGTAGGCGAAACGTTTCGAAATAAAAATACCTAACTGTTGCATATGTGTCTTACCTAACAACCTGTCGGTATTTTATACCATTGTATTATTCAATCTGTCTGACACTGCAACACAAGGGTATCTTGGTACAGACCTACAATCAACTTCAACAACCTCTACTAGTGAGAACGGTTGGATTTGAGAGGGACCTGTCCTCCCAACATCTGAGATCTTAATATAAACACAAATGCAGTATAATATGATCCTTTATTGACAACGTTTCACCCACGCAGTGGGCTTTTTCAAGTCACTGACCTCAAAACTTTAAGGGTGATGGACTGATTACATCGTCTTCAAGTATCTTCTGCTTCTATCAACTTTTCTGTACTCGACTGAAGAAGCCTACTGTGTAGGCGAAACGTTTCGAAATAAAGATACCTAACTGTTGCATATGTGTCTTACCATACCCAAGAGTTGCACATGTGTCTAATTTATCAACATGTCGGTTCTCTGAACCATTCATCTACAAACGTCTTTATATGTTGAAATTCGGGCCAGTAGTTTATTCATAATTAAAATTCAAATTTAAAATTTACAGTAAACCTACAAATAACAGTTCCTATGTACACTATTATTCTTCACATCAAGATAGAGTTAAACTGTCTGTTTTCTTATCAGTGTTTTTGAGAGCTTTACGTATTTGTAGTCCAGAGTTCATAGATGAGGAAACATCCAAGATTTATGAAATAGGTAATGATTTGAAATACCCAAGAAACGTAATTGATAAATCTTTTAAAATTGCTAGAAATACTTTTTACAATCCAAAAAGAGACAACTAGCCTTATTCAACTAAAAATATGTTGGTTCTCCCTTGCATAAGAACATAAGAAACGAGGAACACTGCAGCAGGCCTGTTGGCCCATACTAGGCAGGTCCTTAACAATCCTTCCCACAAACAAAATATTTGCCCAACCCAATTTACAATGCTACCCAAGAAATAAGTTTTGATGATTCTATTTACTCTTTATGCAAGTCTCACTCAAATCCAACCCCTCTCACTCATATATTTATCTAAACGAAATTTGAAACTACCCAACGTTATAGCTTCAATAACCCTACTAGGCAGACTGTTCCACTCATCAACTACCCCATTTCCAAACCAATACTTTCCTATAACCTTTCGAAATCTAAACTTATCTAATTTGAATCCATTATTACTGGTTCTTTCTTGAAGTGATATCCTCAAAACCTTATTTATATCCCCTTTGTTAATACCCATCTTCCACTTATACACTTCGATCATGTATCCCCTCATTCTTCGTCTTACAAGCGAGTGTAATTTAAGAGTCTTCAATCGTTCTTCGTATGGAAGATTTCTAATGCAATGTATTAATTTGGTCATTCTACGCTGGATATTCTCTAGAGAATTTATATCCATTCTGTAATGTGGAGACCAGAACATAAGAACATAAGAACGGAGGAACACTGCAGCAGGCCTGTTGGCCCATACTAGGCAGGTCCTTTACAATTCATCCCACTAACAACATTTGACAAACCCAATTTTCAATGCCACCCAAGAAACAAGCTCCGATGTGCAAGTCACTCTCAAATCCATCCCCTCCCACTCATGTACTTATCCAACCTAAATTTGAAAATACCCAAAATCCCAGCCTCAATAACCCAACTAGGTAGACTGTTCCACTCATCAACTACCCTTTTTCCCAAAACCAATATTTTTCCTATGCCCTTCTAAATCTAAACTTATCAAATTTTAAATCCATTCCGGGGGGGTTTCCTCAGGAGAGATATCCTCAAGACCTTTTTAATATCCCCTTTTTAATACCTATTTTCCACTTGTACACTTCGATGGGGTCTCCCCCTCTTTCTTCTTCTAACAAGTGAATGTAACTAAGAGCTCAAT